GCTGAGCGCCGACTCGCGCAAGAGCCAGCTCGGCTGTCCGGGCGGCAGCTGCTGCAACACCCTCCCGGCCGCGCCGCCGCCCGACAAAGGCGCGCCGCTGCTGCTGCCTGAGGAGCCCGCGAGCGCCCGCGGCGACGCCCACAGCGGAGACGCCCTCCAGGTGAGTCCTGCCGCCCACACTGCAGCAGAGCTGTAGCTTAGCGCACAGCTGCGATTGTTTAAAAAGTGTCTGTTGCCCATCAAAGTTGCTTTGGATGATGAAGCGGCACTGTCAGCAGTGTAAATGTGCTCTTAGTTGCATTGTCTTTGTGAGCTGCTCATTGCTTCGCTTACTTCCTAAACAGTGTCAATTGCTCACTGATGTTATCACCTCCCTCTCACACCACGGCCTTTTGTTTGGACGCTAACTCTTTTCAACCGATGTAATCAGGGTGGGGCAAGTAGGACTACATGTATTTAGACAGATCACGAGTCTATATAGAGATGTGCTCTGTATGGACAGTAGACCTGCTTGTGTGTCTTTATCCGCGTGAGTCTAAGCATTTGCCGGTAAAGAAGACCTTTGTGAGAGAAATGACAGTGGTCTGAAAATATAAGGTGTGCAGGTGTATGTTTCTTTAATTGCAGGGTAATTGCAGTGCTTTTTTTTTTTTTTTTTTTTTTTTGGAATGTTGAGTTGGAGATGGAAGTGCCATTTGGATTTAAGAATATTTCCTTTTCTGTTGGAATTACTCTCAACAATTGTTATGTTTAGAAAAGGTTTGCTTATTTTGGAAATATCACATATTTCTCCTTAAGCAGGATCTTAACACACCAGGACTGTTTTTAAGCAGGAAGTGTGGGACCTAATCTTTGCTGCAAGATTGCATTTCTTCATCCTTACATTACTAATATGCTTTAGAGGTGTATGACTTGTCATAATGGCGTGCAGAGCATAAAAATGTRCCTCACTTGTGTGTACAAATGCATGACAGTTTATCATGAAGATAACTGTGGCTATCTGGATGCTATTTACTTGACATTTATGAAAATCATGAGGGTCATGTGTATGTAGTTTTGCATGGCCTGCTCCTTGCATCACATCTTCCAGGACAATTGCTCCCATGGTTCCTATTTCTCATAAAATTTGTGTTTAAAGTGCTACTGATAGTGTGGGACTCTCTGATGTGTAAATGCTGTCTTTTCTCAAATGAGTTTTCCTCATGTTTTAGTGACTTGTTCCTTGAACTTGGGTCTTTGAAGACTCTGTACCACATTATTACTCTGGCTACTGCCGTTATTGAAAGAGTCAATATTCATCTGAATGCTAGGTATTGGGTAAGTTTATTGTGGTAGTTTTGTCTTAGTAATACTTCTCTGTACCTTTTTTTTTTTTTTTTTTACCCCTGTTTTCCTTTCCCTTTAAAAAATAACTTTTCTTTTCATGGAGTTTTGTCAACACATCCCATAGATAAGGCTCTATTAAGTATTACAGTGTCACTGAGAATTGGTGCTCCTGTCCCTACCGCCTAGTTGATTTATTATTACTATTGCTATGATTAATMATTTCTGCCTCATATGATTCTTTCCATCTGTATGTTTCTAACATTAGTTGCATTTGTTGTCATGTTTGGAATTGGAAGGTAGGTTGGTCAGCTGTTGACTGCSAAGATTGGGCCAGGAATAACAAAATCCTCTTATTCACTTCCCTAAAGATGGTGACACTCKGAGAGTCAACCAATAMGATCTTTTTTTCTTTTCCCTAGATAATGAGTTGTTTTCTTTTTTTTCCTCCCCTRTGATTTTGATTCAGTGGCAGTATCATCTCTCYTTATTTTTTGTTYTCATGTTTTTGGCTTTTTTAAAAATTTCTGTTAGAGGTGTTAAGGAATGATATGAGAACTCTACAAGTATTATATCTTAAGGAGATATTTATTTCAGGAGATATCTCTGAGGAGATAGTTATGTCAATTCTTCTATACTGAGTGAAATCTAGTGCCTTCTGGATAGACTACTTAACAGCAGTACATTAGGACAGAGCATCATATATTTCCATCAACGGTGGAAGAATGTGTAGGAAAGGCTGCATTTCTTGTGATCATTTGCTTCCAAAACACTTCTCAATAACCACAGAAATCTGCTTGCACAACATCACGGCCTGTTGCTTGGATCAGGTCTTTAGAGTCTAAGCCATTTTATTACTTGGGTTACCACCTTTTGCTTCTAATTCAGCTATTGCTGTGAATGTTAGTTATTGGAAGTGGATGTACACTTTGCCTTGGGAGGGAAAGGTTACTCCCAGAGAGCAGGCATGTTTCCTCTCTGATGCGACACGTGCTTCCACTGTGGCGCATGCCAGGGAATATGTATTTTTAAAGAGAGCTGATACTGGACATATTGCTGCATCTTTGTGGTCGCATTTCTATGGATTTGAATTCTATCCATGTAGACAGAAGTTAGGCGGAAGAGTTTCCTGAAATATAATTTTGCCTGAACAGAACCTGGGTGTAAATATAAATGCAATTTGGTCTTAGTATACCAAATCACTCACAGCTGCAGCTTTATCTTATTTTTTTTTTCTTATATCTGGCCAAGGAAATATTCTATGCTGAGAGCTTTGTGAGGAGATATTTGCTTAGTATTTCCTTGAGGACAATAATGTGAATT